GCATTGGACGAATATCCGGATTTTGGATGGATACCCATGCTATTATTTGTAACCGCGAATATTCACGCGAATATTCATGAATATACACGGATCAATTATATTGATTACGAACCCTCGATTATTCGTGAATTTCGTGTAACCAAGCATCGGATATTCAATGAACATCCACGGATCCGGCCTCTAAATTGAGATGACGCAAGTCATGTGAAGACGATATAATTTACCTGTATTAATAAATACATCACTAACAGTTCCAGCACCAATACTCTGGACGGAAGAACCACCACAAGCTTGAAAAGAACGCATAACTAACAATAGCCAAATATTATTTGACACAGCACATATTATTCCAGCAATGACGTATATTGTAAGGGACATTAAGTAGACCCTTCGCCTTGTTTCACGAACATCGGAATATGAGGCCCACCCAAGTGGCTGCAAACAAATTATGCGTTGGACATTTGTTACATAACACAAACATTACAAAAAAAAGAAAGTAGAAGAAAACATACTGCAATACCAATGAAAAACATGAAAACAGCGACTGGATAATTAATACGAACAAAACAATCAAGTTAAACCATGTCGTTAAATTAGCGTCAGTGATTGGGACTCATCAACTCATGACTCGAATAACTTAATTTTTCAGGTAATTTTTTTTAACTGTCAAAGTCATGATAACGTTAGTATATTACACAATTGTTACACATATTAATAAACTTGCATTTGCTAAATTGAATGGTAGAGCAAATTAACTAGATCAAATGATTCGAGTGATACGATTAGGGATGGTAAAAAAATGATTTCATTATATTTAAATCTTTTTTTTGCCATCCCTAGATACTACAGACAGTGCTTATAGGAAATGCTTTTAGACAATGCAAATTCACGTAATTCACGTGATATTGTTAAAGTCCATCTAAGTGTTAACCAACCAATTACATGAATTGCACTGTCCCTAAAGCACTGTCTGTAGAATTTTCGCCCAATAACCACATTAAATCACACGAACAAAATTATTTTACTTGCTTATAGCATTGGAAAGAACTTGAGAAGCATTTAAATCAGCCCCAATTTTGATAACAACGGGCAAAAAAATCCTAGACAGAAAAATCAGACTTTAAATTTCAAAAATACAGATTCAAAAAAAAGCTTCAGACTCTCACGTGCTAGAAATGGGGGCGATCAATCCTGTCGTAGAGATAATGAATAAAATGAAATTTTTTTTCTTTTTCGTCCAATTTATTGGATCACTTGGTGTAGTATTTTCAGTCTCACATGCTTGATCCGATTTTTCTGATTTTATATATTCCAACGAAGGATCACTTTTGCCATATTCCAACGAAGGATCATTTTTGTCATATTCCAACGAGGGATCATTTTTGTCATATTCCAACGAAGGATCATTTTTGTCATATTCCAACGAAGGATCATTTTTGTCATATTCCAACGAAGGATCATTTTTGATATCATGTGGTTGATTATTTTCGATATTAGCCATTAAATTTGACTCTAAAAAAATTATGTTAATAGAGAACTAATGCAGCTCTATAAATACCGTTTTTTTAACCAAATAAAATACCGGTAGTCTATTTTTGTAATACTCTAAATGAATTTGAATTATATCAACTATGATCTTCAAATAACAATACTCAGTGTGACATTTAGCACAGTATATTACTAGAGATACACCAATATTATGTGATTATTATCCACATCAACAATTACATCATTTTACCGATATCAAATTCACATATGACTTAATACTTTTTTGATTTATCCTTTTCATCAACAACCTCTTTTGATTTACCTTTAATATTACTAAATTTATTAAAGGCAGCCGGTTGATATGCTTTTTGTCAAATTCAAAACTAGTACCGTATATTCCTGAAAATAAGCTACTCCGAAAATAAGCTACCCTCTTGGTTTTGAGCAAAAAACCAAAAAATGCTGAAAAAAAAAACAAATGTAAAAAAAATAAGAAATCAAGAAAGAAAGAGATAGGAAAAGAAATGATCGAAGAATAGAAGAAAAAAAAAATGAAAAGAAGAAAAAGTTGAATAAAAAAATGGAATATGCAAAGAAAAAGGAAAGAAAAATAAGAATAGGCGAAAAAAATGACGGAAACAAAAACAAAAAGACAGAAGAAAAAAAATAAAAGTAAAAATAAAAGAAAACGGAAAAAAGCAAAGAAAATAAAAAAAATAAAAAAAGTGAAATGTTATTAATTTTAATAAAAGAAAAAAAATGAATTAAAAAATTAAAAAAAAACATACCTGATCCTGAAGTTGAGTGAAACATCGTCAATTTTATAATTTTTCTTTATTTTTTTTGATTTTTTTTTAACACTTTTTTTCAGATTTCTTTTTTAGCATTTCTCTTTTTTATCGTTATTTTTATTTTTTATTCATTTTTATTTTATATTATTAATTTATTTATTTGATTTTTGAATTTTAGTACATACATTCACTAAGGGAATCAAGTTAGTATAGGAAGAAGATACTGGTATATAATAGTAAATACGTATGTATGTACATATGTAAATCCTCGGTTAGGAAATAATAGCGTGACAGTGAAAAAAACAAGTTACCAAGTAATGCTTGTTATTATCCCACTGGGAGCATTACTGGAAACTTGTTTATTCACTAATATGTTGTACGTATAGATTTGAGAGGTAGCTTATTTTCAGAATAAAAAAATTACAATTGTTTTTGGTTTGAAAACATGAGGTAGCTTCTTTTCGGGTATTAGAGATTTTTAGGTTTTTTGCTCAAAACCAAGAGGGTAGCTTATTTTCGGAGTAGCTTATTTTCAGGAATATACGGTACTAGTTTTGA